ATCATCCCGGACATAATGCCACACCACATGCGAAATTACACAGAAATGCGACGTACGGAAGAATGCGTTTTGGCTGCGAACATCTTCCAAAAACTTGCCATCTCTTAAGTACGGCCAAAAACATCTGGTACCACTTATCAAAACCACCCCGTATATGCATGAAGTTCCACCCCCCCATTGCTATTCCAAACAACGCGTTTTTCTGGACCATTCCAATTCGCCTCGTAATTGTAGGGGTGCGTCTGCAATATTACATTGACCGCGAAAGCAGCAACGGCAAAAATACACATTCGTGCATCAACACGGGCATGCCCACAGAAGGCGTATAAAATTGCGTGCCGATTACACAAAGAGAACCCAGTGTTTTGACTGCGAACATGAAAAATCAGCCGATCACAACACTCCGTCCGGAGGTCCTGACCTCCTTCACGGAGTAATAAACCAGAAAATTTGCATATTCGACCCACTAAATATGTATACGTACTTTGCGACGTGGCAATGCATATTTAATGGCAATAACAACCAACAATAAATCAAGTTACACAATAGTCCTACCGTTTCTGAATGTTCCCGGTGTTTTATACACTTGATGTTGCTCATTTTTAAAATATATCTACAAAGAAATGATAATTTCATTTTATCAAACATAATATCGCTTAGCATTTTCAGTTTTATAGAAAGACTGGGTTACATTTCATGTTTATAGTCCAATGGTATTTTGGTAAATTTCTTCCTGATGCATAGTTCTTCACCATTCAAAATGTGTCCCTGAAATTTTCTTTTTTTCTAAGTCTGCCAGGAAATCAGCAAGGTTTGTCAGTCGACGTAAATGAATATATTAGTGATATTGCAAGTCAGTTTGAGCCAATCGCCTCAAACTGGTGCCTATGCTGAAAGCGTTTTTCATTCTGTATCTGGTGCTAATTGCATTATCCTGATACAAAGGAATAATTAAACTGTTACGCACAGTACACTGTGTTGTATACTATTAGGTTTTGCGAGAATAACCTATCTAGATGGTTTTAGGCAACATGAATGACGTCATTATGACGTCAAGTTACTTCATAATGTTATCAAAATTGTTGTTATGATTAAACATTACAATTACACCTCTGGAAGATTTTGTTGTCATACGATATACCGTTCACGAGAATGAGCAATCAATCCATCTGGTCCTGCAGCCTTTCAGTCCCACGGATCCCTCTAAAAGCCCAGTCTACATACTTGGGTTAAAACGCATTGATTTTTACATTAGATCTTATATTCCCAGATGAGATATCATATTCCCAGGAGGATCCTCTCCACCACATCCCTGATCCTGCGATGAAGTTCAGGTTTGGATGTGTTGAAGAGTTAGAAGTGATGAATGAACTTCTAAGGCTGAAAACGAGGGTTGGACAAAATTCCGGCTAAACTTCTCAAAGACTGCGCCCCAGTGATGGCAAAGCCTCTCTAGAGAGGTTACATCTGACTGGAGGGAGGCTCAGATCTCACCTGTACAAAAGTCTGGTAACCGTGCTGATGTCGGTAACTGCCGCCCTGTGTCCATGCTAAGTGTTACGTCAAAGGTAATTGAAACACGTTACCTGACAAGATGTGAACTTCTCACTACTCACCAAAGCGGATTCAGAAGGCTCGGGGACCGCTGTACAGAAGATTGTGGAGGACATTAGGTCTGGTTACAACTGCAGTAAGGTCACAGTCGCACTATTTCTGGACTTAAGGAAGGCTTTTGATTCGGTCAACCATGCTATTCTGTTAGGCAAACTTCATAAGCTTGACTTTGACAGTGATGCCATGAAATGGTTTTCCTCTTACCTCTCTGAGCGCTTCCACTGCACGTGTCTTCAGGGTCAACACTACAAAAACTCGGGTCTCTTGTGGGGTTCCTCAGGGAAGTATTCTACTGTTCTGCCTATACGTTAATGACTTACCCAACGTCATTGAAAAATGCAGCATTCACATGTATGCTGATGACATAGCCCTGTACTACTCGGCTGATTCCATGAAGGCCTATGAAGAGATTGTTGCTATCGGCATTAACAGAGATGTAAAATGGCTAAATGAAAACAAGTTGCTAGTACATCCTGACAAGACCAAATCGATGCTCCTCGGGCTCCCTCAGAAATTGAGGCATGCTGGGACATCCGTCAACACAACAGACGGTGTGAACGTATATAAGCAAGCTGACTCGTTGACCTACCTGGGCATTACTCTCGACCCATTACTCAGCCCACTCAGGTGGGCAGCACATGTGCACAGAATCACGAAGAAGCTTCTTAGCGGACTCGGAGCCATGGGGCGTGCTAGAGACTTTGTTACAAAGGACGTTCTACGAAACACCTACAAGACACTATTACTGTCTCATCTGGAGTATTGTGCCACAGCATGGCTACCAAGTCTTGTACTGCAAGGGCTGCAAGGCTCATTACAGGTCACAAACTCCAGGACATGTCTCAGTGGTTAACTTGCGAGCTGAGGCAGGGATAGATTCTGTGCATAAACAGACAGAAATCATGAGTCTTGTTAACATATTTAAGGCAATTCGTAGAAGTGCGCCGGTGTACATGGCGTCTTTGTTTAAGTCGGAGACTCCCCCAACATTAAGTGTACGGTCTACTCGGTCAGAGTTAAAGCATCTTTGGGACTACGACCCTCACCTACTCTTCTGTCCACCAGCAAGAGTTAAGGCATACCGGAGCAGTCTACAGTACTATGGTCCTTACCTGTCGAACAGTCTTCCGCTACAGCAACGACAGCTCCTTAGTCTCAGGACTTTAAACAGACCATTAAACAGACCATCAGGAACAGGATCTAGTTGATGTTTAGGATGTTGTATTTCACCGTGTGTATTTAGTAATTGTTTATATACTGTTTATTTGTTGTGTGTATTTTTATGAAGCCCGCGCCCATTTTAATCTCGGATAGCGCCTGAACGACTTGCACTAGAAACGTCAAATTTTGTGACCTTTCCTAGAAAATATCTGGCAACAATTTGATATTAATTAGATAAGTTCCTGATTTTTAGTGTTGCCATGTCAACGGGTTTCTGAAAGGCAGTTTTTTTAAATCAGTAATTTTTGTTCAAACATTAAAAATTTCTAGGTTTTAAGTTTAATTGCACTTCCTTTTTAACCCTAAACAGTACACCTGGGGTCCGCGCGGACCCCAGCACTATATATGCTGTAATATGTTTTTTTGTTTCTAAAGATTTTTTTTCTAAAAATTTCAGGTTATTGTTACCCACAAAGTTGTCCCTCAATACAGTGCAGAAAACCCAGTTTCCCCCATTCTTAAATTTTTTATATCTGATTTTCGTTTGGAGTCCGCGCGGACCCCAGCCGGCTTTCGATCGTAATCGATACACTGGCGGTCTTATACATTACTTTATTTCCGTTTTTATATGCTTTTATGCACTTATTGTATTGGCCACTAAATTTTCAGAGAATGGTGTACTAATAGAATTAAATTCTGTTTAATTCTATTAGTGTTTAATTCTATTAGTGTTTTCCTGTACTTTATTTGAGTTGGTCTAATTAATTAGGTGCCATTTTTGTTTTTTCGCTATGTATTTTGACAGTGTTTGTTTCTCTCTGTGCTATTGTTTTTTTCTTCTATTTTTTATTTATTCATAAGGTATAATCATATATGACCGTATTAATCTTTTTTAAAAACTTTTTACTGACATTGAAACGTTGTTGATTGAGTTATCCTAGAATAATCATATATGACCGTATTAATCTTTTTAAAAAACTTTTTACTGACATTGAAACGTTGTTGATTGAGTTATCCTGGAAACCTAATGCGTGATCCAGAGGGGACAAAACTGACCCCAGTATTTTAACACGTGAGACTTTTGCTGTCATCAATGTGTCTTGTATACATTGTTTTATTTGTTCTCATTTCCACGGCGGTCTGTCACTACGGCATTCTTTCCCATTGCTATGCGCGTTCGAAAAGGTATCGGGTTACAAGACGCTATTTTGGCCTGTTTTGGACTACCCGTAAAATATTTGAAAACAAACAAATAATATTTAGGGGTAAATTTCGTCAAATTAAAATGAAATTATCGTCTTAACATCCTTTAAATGTTAGCTTTTTATGTTAAATCACTGATTTTTTAAAATTTCGCTCAGAAAGACGATTATTTTCGGGTTTCCGTGCACAAGTCATGTCACGTTTTTAGGCAAACATCGTTCAAACCTGGCTACGTATATTACCCCAGATCCCCGATTTTAATATTTTTCGCAGACTAGAAATAAGATAAAAAATCGTGTTTTAGGGATTTTTTAATTTCTGATTGTAAGTCTAGTTTTTGTCGACATATTGGTGACATATTCTCACTATATTACCCATAATTCAAAATTGAGGCCATTTTTCAAAAATCCCTAAAACACGATTTTCGGGACAACCGTTACAGTCATTTTGAGCCGTAAATGGGGTATGTTTGACTCTCCATGTTTCCAGGTTTGAACGAGTTTTGGAGACATGTCATATCGCCAGAAAGTGTGCATTGTGTTATTCATACTGGCGCAAAGAATCATTACAGTATTCAAGGTCACTCAAGGATACGACAGTAGCTTCGCCACATGTTACATGTCCACCAAAAATAATAGCGGACATGTACTGTCCAGGAAACTGTTTGTATCTATAGAAAAGTGTTGTTTTTTATCTGTTGCAATGCACGGAGGCAGAAAGGCTTGTTTTGCCGCTTTATAGTAAATGACCGCAGGTAACCCCGAAATAGAACGCGGGTTCGATTCGAATTCCCCAGATCGAACACGATCGAACACAGTTCGGGTTCTATGACATGTGGGAACTTTTCAGCCCAAATTTTACCACCGTGTTCTCTATAAAAATTACAAGAAAATCTGAAATCTTAATTGTAGTGTAAATTTTTATCAGAAGAAATGTTATAAATGTAACACCTTTTGTACCCAGCTGACCCAGTCTTAAGATCACCTTGCCATTTACACTGCAACAATTATTTCAAATTACAGGTATCAAAGCGGAACGGCAGTAGGAGTCTTTGAGCAATCCAAAACGCGTCTCGCAGAATCTACCTCAACGACAAGTCATCGTTACTATATAGTAAAGATGGTTTCTGTAAGGTCGACTTTTATATTCCTATTTTTGTTCATTTTGATTTTGAGCACTGGAGCCTACATGTACATCAGCTACAACATTGAAGGTCTGTCACTTAAGAAAATGGTGTCTGGTGCATCGGCTAGCTATAGGGAAAGGGGTAAGTAAGTAAAAAGTTTTTTTAGTGTCTATGTGTGGCTGTGTGTGTCCCCACAACTTTTTTTTAATTAATCATTCTTTTTATTGATTTTCACAAACATTAGATACACACACAGAAAAACTTATACTGAAGGGACATGTAGAACACAGAAAAGGATAAATAAAACAGGAAACAATGAATAATGGTAACATATTTGAGTAACAGACAAAAGTGTTCTCTACAATGTTTTCAACGTTTCAGCTATTTTTACCCATTTACCAAAGTGTTTTTTATTCTAATCCTTTTTGCTATAATATGTTCTAATCTATGATACGTATGAGATGAAAGCTTGCAGATTGAGAGAGAATTGACGGTTTTTAAAGATGAATTGCTTACCTAGGAGGATTACTAAATTTGAAGAAGCTGAACACCGACCATTTAAGTCACCGAAAATAACCTTAAAAAGATCCAGATTTAAACGTTCCTTAGTATTGTTGAAAAACCAGTCTTCCACTTGTATCCAAAAAATTGTTACAACTTTACAATGGAAAAAAAAGATGGAAGACTGTTTCTTCATCTTTATTACAATAACTACATAAGGGCGACACGTTTACCCCCCCCCCCCCGGTCTAGGTAGGGTTTATCGGCCCCAGATTTTCCCTTACACTCCCGGATTTGTGCTCGCCGTGCACGGAAATTTACGGGACCCGCACACTTGGCGTGTGGTGGTAAGCGGCTAACAATAAGGGGTAATTAGGTACTGCGCGTATTCATGTTTCAGTTCATAATAACTTGAAGCAAAGTACCTGCCAGTACTTGAATCTAAGCAAATTAGCATGATCAAGGATTGTTAATACAGCATTTGAGCCTATGCGTCCCTGGTTTGATTCATCGAAATATACAATGTTTACATGAAGGTTTCCTTCTGACCTTAAATATAAGCAAAAGGCATTTGATTATCAAAGTTTAGGAGGAACCTTGCGTGTACGGTACCCAAGCCAACAAAAATACTGTTTGCAATATAGAGTTTGTGTAATCAAGGATATTATATACTCAGCAGAGCTAAGGCGGCCCAGGTATATACTAGCTACCACTTGGGTCCTGAATGAAAATTGTCATAACTCGGCAATGCATGTTTAAAAATGTCTCAAATTCGCAAGGGAGATAGATTAGATGTACATCAATTTGATGTTGTTATGTTAAGTTGATTAGTTTCAGACTATGAAAATGTCATTATTGTTGGTAAAAATAGAGTTTGCAGAACTATTCCTTAAGTCCAACACTTACATTTTTTTTTGTATACAGCTGCTGACACATACCTTCTAACAGAAACTGGTGAGTTAAATCAATATTTCCTTTCCTGTTTCTTGAAATCATTGATCAAATTTAAACACTTTAAGGGAAGCTCTTTAAATATGGCCTTTTTCCTTCCTGAAAGGCGGCTATAGTTCTTTAAAATAGTACCACAAATTTGTAGCCGGAAACACACATTTTAGCACCTTCAAGAGACACTTCTACATTTGCATCAGGACGCATTTTTATCCCCACTTCTGTGAGCCAGGGACATAGTTTTGCTGAACAATCTATGGTACATGCATAAATGTCTCTCAGAAAACGGGCAGGGAGACTCAGGTCCTGGGATTGAGATAGGCCGATAAACTAATACCAGGCCTGTTAAATTTAACTTAGCAAAAATTACATCATATGTTGTTATTGTTTGAATATAACGAGAAGGGCCTTTTTTCTATCAGGCTGCTTTTAACTAGGCTGGGTGCTAGACTGTTTCCAGTAGGGCCTACATAGCCAGCTTGTCGGCTCAAGGGCCAAAATGCCCTTAACGAAATTTAACCACCGCCCCCTCAGGTATAGCCCTGAGCCCCGTACACTGGCTAACTCGTGGTCTAATGCGCTATAGGTCTTGGTATCGAGGTTACACAATGCTTCTATCAAGGAGGCAAGTTATGTCATGGAGGGACGCACTCCTTTTTTTGCAAAACTTTCAGAACCCATTGAGTTGGAGCCATCTCCGCAAAACATTTAAGATTGTGGGCCCTAATCAGATGACTGTCAGATGCGAAAAAAGAGCAAAAATTCCCCATTGCATTAGATAAGATCAAGGTAGTTCTTTCAGATCCATTGCTTTTAGTAAGTATTATTGTACGCTATCACTGGAAAGCTTTATATACATCTATATGGTTGATCTGACAGCACAAAAACATTAAACCTCTATGCATTCTTGAGCTGTCTTGGCTTTTCTTTTGTCTGTTTTCTGGAGGGCACCTTCAAAAAATGCTAGGGGTCCACTTATTAACTCCCCAGGAGAAATAAACGCCTGGTTGAGATGCAAAAGGCAGGCGGGACCGAAGGCTGTGAACTGATACTTATACATATTAACGATCAAGTCACTCGCACTTTTTTCATTACAATATAAAAGTACCTAATCATAATATTAAAATGAGGTAAATGGCCAGGCAGGCCTGGGCCGCTTTAGTTCTGCTAAACATGCGTTATTTTGGGAGATATTTGCAGTGTTTACTTGTGTATAGTGCCAGGGTACAGGCACGAGGTAGGCACACCGTGGTGAGTGGTAGCAACGCGAACAAAAGCCTACCAACGGAACCATCGTGTGATCTCCCCACCTGCTGTAGAACCCGAACCGTCTTCGATCTGACGTAATTCGAATAGAACGGTGTTCGAAATGGGATCACCCGCGGTCATTTACAGTTAACCTGGGTTTCCCGGCCCCTCTTTACACGGGTACCTGCTACCAGAAAAAATCCACCTTTTCACAAATATAAACCATTTCCTGGACAGTAATGTCTGCAATCATTTTTAGTGGTCATGGAACATGAAACGATGCTACTACCATCATCGTGGGTGACCTTGAAGATCGCAATACTTGTACACAACTATTTTGTAACGTCAAGTTTTGGTAGTTATTCATGAATTCAAAACAAAAGACTGTCGAGGAAAGACGATAAAAATTGTTTTATCATTATGTTGTTATATTAAAACCTTAAACACCCGAACTTTTTTTGCCACGGAAATGACCAAACGGGGTCCAAATGGACCCCATTTGGTTTCTTTCAAATTTACATTCATTTTTGTATTCTTTTAGTGATCTTTGCACAATGATCTTTAGTTAAACATAATAAGATGAATATTTTTGCATGATTAAGTGTAAAAAAAATTCCAGCTTATTATCATAATTTGTGCAAAAAAAGGATAAGGCCTACAGGTATAAGCATGGGGTTGACCTTTGACCTCATATGAATGTCAAAGGTCATAACCTCTGAAAACGTGATGACCTAGTTCTTAAGGTTAAGGTTACTTGGCAAACTGCATAATATTAAAGCAATAATGCTTTCGTGAAGACATATTAAGGACATCCGAACAATTTCGTGTGTAGGAAAGTGCAAATATGGCTCCCGTTTGTACCCCAGACGGTCTTTTACATCAGACATCCCGTTGTTATTTTTACAAATTTGTGCCGATCTCCCGAAATTTAGGAGAACTTGAAGAAGAGGTTTATTGACAAAGTCACGGAAGGAATTTTTTTTCAAAAATTTATAATAGCACATAAATATATACGACTGGGGTCCAAATGGACCCCTTTCGGGTGTTTGAGTGCTAACTTAAATTTTGAGTAATAATTTAACCTACACTTTCAACATCTCCATCTAGCTTCATCACCGTCACCATCATCTGTCGACACTAAGGGAAGGGGTAAGACTTTAGTTGCATCGTTGTACAACTAGCGCTAGCGTACCTGCCTGCATCATAGGAATTCCTTACTTGCCTTCTGTGAAACATTTTTAAACACCAACACTACGTTATTCCACCTAAAAAGTATTTGCCACCTTTAGGCTTAAACAAAAGCAAGGCCGAATTAAAGATACAAAATGGGAAGATATAATAAGTAAAAGAAGGCAAAACGTCAACCTTAACCTTCGAATTTTAAAGGCCTACCTACCATCACAGAATCCATGCAGACTTAAGTAACTAAATCTATTGATATAATTCATATACTTGTATATTTATAAGTAAAATATTAGACAATGGTTAGGCTAGACAATGGTTAGACAGATTTCTAATGACCTTGAACACCATAATTGAAATAAAGTTTAAAAAAATGGAATCAGAAATGAAACAGGCCATTCGATGTAGGAGAGTTGCCGATATTCATGTAGAAATGCGGGGTATATATGATTATAATGTATTCAAGTCGCAACATTTTTTCCTCGCTGGAAAACATGTGCAAGTCAGCAATATAAGATAAAAATGTAGAGAAAAAAACAGTTGCTAATTCTATATCTGTACCTAAATACAGTCAATATTTTTAAAGTAAATGGTGCCAATTTACGTTAATTCTCAGATGTAATAAAAAGATTTGTCATATAAAAATTGAATTGTTGTGGACTTAAGGCCAATTTAATTGCTGTTCCAATCTCATGTTATTTTCTCTTCGTCCTCGAGAAACTTGGGAAAACTTAACAGAAGCGGAGACTGAACAGTCCCGAAGAATAACTATGCTTAACGCATACTGTGCGAGGAACTTTCCAAAGGTACGTTATCGTGTTTAATAAAATAGTTATTTGTGCAAAAGTGAATTAAACATAAGCTTAAGCCCACAGATACATTGGAAATAGACAATATGGGTTTAAATTAACTTTAAAAAAGGCGAAGTAGGGCTGACATTGTAAGAAAAATAGCCGGAATGTACCTGATCTTATGATTTGGTCCGCAATTTTGGATTTTGACCGATGACGTAATCAGATTAGCATATATATATATATTGATAATGTCGGGAACTGGTACATTCGCCTACTAAGTAGTGTTTTGTAATCCCGTTTAATGAGCCCTGTAGTAAAACACACGAGACTTAGAGAACAGTAAAACTGATTTGTCTGCCCAACTGTAAGTATATTTCTAAGTAAAAGTGTGGAAATGTTAGAAATAATTTCAATTTTATATCATTAAAGCGATATTATATAAATGTTTCTCTACTCTAAACATGTCCTTGTGCTTTACGCCTATCTACCGATTTATAAAATTACAATCTAGATGAGAAAAGTTCAATTATTTACATATAATGTACAGTTTTTGAACAAAAATCTTACATGATATCACTTTTTAAGTATTTTGTCCTGGCCGATTAAGCCAGATCATACGCTTTGCAAATTTACTTTATTATTTTTTAGGGTGCATCGAAACCGAGCCGAAACAACCACATATTCATTTTTGACAAGATCAAAACGGTCTACTGCTATATCCCCAAAACCGGGTGTACAACAATGAAACTGTTACTTTACAATCTGGAGCACAATGAAACTGAAAAGTTGTCGTGGGGTTTTAGAAAAGTTGACTGGTTACCTTCTGACGATAAAAGTAACCGTACGTCTGGCGAACGTGATGTTGAGTGGATACACCGACAAAAGTTTAAATCATTGGAGGACTACAGCGAAGAAGAAGTCAGTCTGCGTCTTGCGACCTACAAAAAGATCATCGTTGTTCGCGACCCTTTGGAGAGGTAAATATAATTCTTTTATACGATAGCATTTGTATCACTGCTGTTAGGAGTTTGAAAAGATTTACGGTTCTGGTAATACATACATTGCAAAAATAGCATTTTGCCCGAGGCAATACCACAAAAATTGATACCGGCGAACCTTTGCAACAGGCCTCCCTATCTTCGTTTTGTTTCTGTACCCTACATTCAACATCTCTTGTCACAAACTAACATGTAGGACGGAACTCACTGATAACTGGTATACACTGCATAATATTGATAACTGTACTAATACATGTTATCAATTGCAACAGCACTGACTTAAAAATGACGTCCTAAAATGACGTCATTATTATTTAAGCTGTCGGCCATCTTGGATGGTCAATCTTTAATTTTGAATGATTAATTTTATAAAGATTCAGGGTCAAAATGCAATGTAAATGGCCTAATGATGTTGCAATGAACTGTTTTTTGTAGAAAAAAGTTGTTTCACAAGAGGTAATAAAATGGTCTACCGTTTTGGTTTTTGATAGACCGATGGCTTAATCAAATAAGCTTCAACAAATGTTCATAGGCGACGATTTTCGGTAGGTTTTTCATGTACAGATTGGGTACAGATTCAATACACCATGGTGGAAACATACTGCTAATGAACAGTTATATGGTTTGTTACCAAATGTAACTACAGTAGTTTTAATAAGCTGTAGACTAAGCTTGGCTGGTCATGTTGTACGTAGTGAAGAACCAGCCAGTAGGCTTCTACTCTGGAACCCTGATACAAAAAGAAAAGTTGGAAGGCCAAACGTAACACTTAGGAAACTTATAGAAACTGAAACAGGCTTGCAGGGCCTGGAACTTATCTCTGCGATGAAGGACAGAAAGTTCTGGAGATCTAACTTTGTATGCTCTACCTCTTCGGAGGATGATTGATGATGATTGGGTACAGAATACGGTATGTAAACAGTGTTTGAAATATTAACAACTGGTAACAACGTGTCATAAAAATTGATAAAATCCTGGTCAAATACCTAAGATCTGTAGCCTAGCTAAATCGTGCTAGTGGAAGCCGTCCGCCCCAAAGGCTTGTGGTGGGGGTCCTAAAAAAGTTAAAAAATATGGCAATGTAAACAGATGAACACAGTTATCTTTCATAACATTTCAATTGCTACACATAATTTATATGACAAGGTATCGTAGCAGGTGCAAAACGTAAGTCATGGTCTCAACACATACACGTATTTGAAAACGAATATACACAACAAACGCCTAATGTCTGCTTAGAGAACCTCGGCTACCTCAAAACTACTAAGGCTATGGCCTATTCCTCAGAGTTAAAAAATAGGGCTGTTTCTTTAAGCATTTAACTCAAAATTGCTATGAAAAAAGAAAGTAACGTCCACTAAAACGGCATACTGCATGATCCATCATATAGAAACAGTTGACGCCCCCCACCCCCCTGTGGTCTGAGTAGGGTTAATTCGTGTTAGCTTAAACATGACTGACTCTGACAGGAACTCCAAAATCTGAAGATAATCTTCTTTTGGAGTAAAATTTAAAAAACGAATCATTGATATAACGTGTAAACAGCTAATATTATAAGCACGGAGCTTTTATCAATAGGTAGTCAACTCTCCAACCCGCGGTGAAGGAACGTTAGATGTGGTAATAACCAACCTGAAATTCTACTATAATGTTCCTGCTGTAACTAACCCTATCGGAAACAGTGACCACAATGCAGTTTGGTGGCACCCAAAGGTCCTCCCGATCTCGAAGACGCCTAAAAGAAAGCCAGACTGCACCACAAGGACAAGCCGTGGTTTACTGTTGCACTTAAGAATCTGATGGCACAGTCACGGCCAATGGACGGCCTTCGGAACAAGATTGCCAGAGACATTCCCCGGGGAAAGTAAACATACTACAAGGACCACATTGAGTACATAAAGAAGACTCATCCATCAGAAAGGCACAAGTCTATCCGACGCGTGGCAAACTGGTCTGCTCCTTCTACAACGATCCACGTACCGGGTGTAGAACTGCACGACAGGGCAGGTACAGCGGACGCAGGGAACAAACATTTGTCAGCCATCTGCCAGGCACTCAGCCCACTCGATCGTGGTGACTTACCGTCATACTTACCTGCTACCCCACCTCCGCGAGTAAGCATATGGGACATGTACTATCGACTTAGGCGTAACTCATTACTTTAGTTTGCAACATGTGTACTGAGAACGGGTATCTTCATCATTCTGCCGGCTGTTTGTAGAAGAACGGTACAATAAAACAAGAGTTCCACGATCTCATACCTTCGCGAAATGATGTTAACCCTTGCCGGTGGACGAATTATAAAATTTTAATCGATTTTGCAAATAAGAACCTCATTTGCATAGATTATATCAGTTGATCATATTCTCCATCCAATGAAAGTCTTATCTTAACCAAAAGGATATTATAGCACTTTCTCATAAATTATGCAAATGAGGTCATGATTTGAATAAATTATGTTTATTGATGTTTGCCTTCACTTAACTCCCAAGTGTGGCAAGTATGAATCTCCCAGCAGTTACAACTATGAAATTATAAAAAACTTTATGTTAAAAAGTTATGAACATTTCCCATTTATTATGCAAATTAGGTCTTCATCTACATACTCTATATCCTCAGATGTTTTTTTTTGTTCTCAATTACATGCCACAAGTGTTTCATAGTCCTATTATCGAACAATGCAGATATATATAATTTCCTCATTATTTATGCAAATTAGCTCATGATTTGCATAACTGTCATATGATTATGTCAAGCATCACTTCAGCTACCTACATACCAAAAATTTTACGACAATCCGTTAACAGGTTCTTGAGTTATCACCCTTCGAAAAATTTTCAACAAATGCTCCTGCAGTTTCAGAACAAGCCGCTAGGGGGCCCAAACTCATGTCATTTCTTCCCTACCCCCAGAGCTATCTACCAACCAAAATTCGTGACCCTAGCATGTCTGGATCACGAGATATCAAAACCGGAAGTTCTGCTGCAGTACCTAGGAAAGCCACCAGGAGGCCCAAAATCTAATCATTTCGAGGTCTCATTAAAACCTACACACCTACCAAGTTTCATGAAAATGCATACTAAGCTTCTTGAGTTATATATGCTGTTCACAAACAGACAGACAAACAAACAAACAAACAGACAAACGCTACTGAAAACATAAACTTCTTGGCGAAGGTAACAATACTGTCACGACTTGACAGATAACACGCAATGAAGCCAACTTTTTACGCAGATTTTAGCACTACGTGATGTTAGGCAAACTAAACAGTAGAATGTTTTCAAGGAATTCACAGAAATGACAATGATAGATAATGTGATGCATAAACATTATACAGCACAGAATGAAGAGTAACAGTAAATGTAGTCATGTTTGGCAGGGTATGGCAAGTTATAGTAGGTACATCATGTATCGGTTCAATCATTAACCGGCAAGTTGATAGCAACAAGCAAAATGCATAGGTTCTATTACTTTTGTTGCTCACTGATTTTGGACGAACCCAGGTAACTTCTTCGTCACAGTTTTGCACACAGTGGTTGCTTCAGCAGCGTTTCCGCTGACGCAAACATAGTTTGAGGTTCCACAGTTGTACCAACGTGAGCGCTTAAAGTTGCCGTGGTGTTCTCCAAGCAGAAAAATCCGCTTGTTAGACTGTTTTATTTTTTCCGACCCTTTGCTTTTGTTTGTTGGTCTGGTTGTCTTTGTTGGCTTGTTTGTCATTTCTCTCCATTTTTATGTTTGGCGGCCCGTCTTCGATGGGTTGAGTTTGCCTTACAAATCTCGGCTTCGCTAAGATCTGTTCCTTCCCGTCATGATTGCTCCATAAGTGCAGCCCCCTTTGAATATGCTAACCTTTATGTCTACAGTCCCATTTCGATTTGTTCATCAAAGTAGATTTCACAGATTTTACAAAGTGATTGTGGAAGTACTTAGTACAAAGGAGGTTATATACAGTATTTAACATCCTTGTTTGTTTGTTTGTTTGTTTGTTTGTTTGTTTGTTAGTACCATGGGGTTAAAATACAGATCACTCCATGTTAATACTGAAGTAAACAAGCAACATTTACGCGTTTGGGTTGAGTTCATTGCATTTACATGAAACAAGGTGCTAATAGCCGCTAGTCGGTGACCTGTCAGCAGCCCTCTGATTGAGCCCCGCTAGAAACCTACTGGATGTCGTATAGTGTACACGGGGGGAGGGGGTCTGTCTCACTTCCCTTTCAAGATCAATCTGGAAGATAATTTGGAAAATTTAACCCAGTTAAGAAAGTCAGGGCCTAGATTGTATTTTTCCAAAGCATTAAGAACCAAGTCTTTGAAGATGGTATCGAATGCTTTACTATAATCTAAGAACAATATTGCCCCTGATAATTTCCGGTCTATAGTAAAACAAATAACATCATCAATTTCACAAACATTAAAAAAGTTCGACCCTTCACATATCCGGCTTGTTTGTCACCAACAATATAAGAAATGATGTTCTGTAGACTTTTTCCTAATATCTTTGCGGTTTTTGTTTATATTTCAGTCTATACCACATGGTATTGATGAAATATATTGTTTTCTCTTATATGTTTCTTCTCCTTCTCCTGCCATAATGTCAAATGGATTCAACTCTATCATTGTTTAGCCAAATGACTTGAAATTTGGCAAGGAGGTAGAGTGGGCTAATACCCCCATTTTTTTGGTTATTTTTTTCATACATGTCTTTGAAAAAAATTTATGAAGGATGGATTTTTGGATCCTGAGCCCTGGTATTACAACCTAATGATCTGAAAGTCGGTATAAAGGAATCTTGAACGTGTGTCTACAGAATAGCAGTCACATATTTGGCATAAACCACTTACAAATGACTTATTGATTTTTAAATTCCCCAGATTTGAGCTCTCAGCTGGGCACTCAACAGACAAAAACCGCTTATTTTTTGTATCATCAGTTGTAGCAGGTTCTTAGCTACATATCTGTTAAAGATTTTTTTC